TGTTAAATTCGATCAGAATTTCTCTACTTGTAGTGAAATGAAGAAAAATACACTTTATTTTTTCCACGTTATAAATTTTATATTTTCTGTACACGACGAGCGCCAAACTTGTACTACTCTTAAAAACTAACATTAACCTTTTTCAAAGAAAAGTCATTGGAATATATACTGGAATAATAGCGGCACTCAAGTCGCCTGATATAGTGACATATGTATTTACATAGGTTAATGTAGCAAAATGCGGTAATCGGTTTTATATACAACGAGTACATAGTAAAAGGAGTAAATAAAAAGGTAATTACTAGGGAGCCAAGATGCGACTGAACATACCGGCCTCCTTGAAAGATATTTAAATATTTTCAATCATATAAAGGCAAAGGGTATAATTTAGTTATGGCCCGCTTATAAATACCAAGTTTTGTTCTTATTTCGGCTACGCGATGGATACCATCTGGACCGGGAATTGTTGAGATTACCCGACCCAATAACCATTTATATGGTGGCAAATTATCATCTTGTATAAGTACGATCATATCAGGATTTATTATGCAATCTTTGGACGTCCATTTGTAGCGCTGCTGAAGCAAATGCAAATAATCGTTTGACCATCTACGCCAAAATATCTGCTGTAGTTGTTGTAGACGTCGAAAGCGAGCTAAACGATTATAGTTGACATCCGTTATGTCTGGCTCTGGAAAAGACGTTAGAGGCTCTCCGATAAGGAAATGTCCCGGAGTCAGAGCTTCTAAGTCGGACGAATCGGCAGGCAATGGCATGAGAGGCCGAGAGTTCAATATTGCCTCTATTTGCCTGATATTGTAGATAATTCTTCAAAAGACAGGGAGGCGTTTGCAATGATTCTCACAAGATGATACTTTGCCTGCTTGACCGCGGCCTCCCAAAGGCCACCAAAATCACCGCATTTTGGCGCCACTCAATCCTATTTTGCTGACATAGCTCTAACAATGCTTGTTTATGAGGCTCGGCTTGAAACAAGCGATTTAACTCAGCGAGTTCGTTTTTCGCGCCTACAAAATTTGTAGCATTATCGCTGAATATCGTGGTGCAAAGACCTCTTCGCGCAATAAATCGACGTAGGGATGCGATAAATGCCGCGGTGGAAAGATCGCTGACTGCCTCTATGTGCACAGCTTTGGTAGTAAAGCACACAAATATGGCCAAATAAGATTTCACGGGTGATCTGCCTCGTATTTGGGAGTGAACCAGTATCGGCCCACAGAAGTCAATTCCAGTGGTGAAAAAAGCGCGACCAGGCTGTACTCGCTCCTTTGGAAGGTCGCTCATGAATGGATCTTTCTTTACTGGTTTAATGTGGAAGCATCTAATGCATCGATGCACCGTGTTGTTGCATAACCTTTTGCCGTCGATAGGCCAATAGCGTTGGCGCAGTAAGGACAGAAGTGTTTGTGGTCCTGCGTGCAGATGCTGGAAATGATACGAACAAACTAAAATGTTTGTGAAAATACAATTTTTTGGTAAAATTATTTGATGTTTAGACCGATACTCTAAATTACTATGTCGAAGACGACCTCCAACTCGTATAAGTCCCCTTTTATCGATGAACGGGTCAAGGCTCCTAATTTTACTGCTTTTGCTGACATGGTTCTCTCTTGAAAGCGCATTGAATTCTGCTGTGAGGTATGTGCGTTGAGAGTTTATTATTAATGCTGCAAGAGCTGCATCTAGTTCGGCTGGAATAAGAGGACCTGTTGAACGATTACCAGCGGATGTTTTGCAGTTGCCAAAAAAATCGAAGGCAATAAGCAATTATACGTTCCAATCGATGTAACGATTGGCGATGCTTTACATTCGCTGTAATGTCGAAATAACGCGAATTTGCTGCAAGGAGCACCAACTTGTTGGGCCGTATCTCAGGTACATTTTCTTGTTCTTCAGGCAGTAATTTTTGAAGCTGGAAATCTGAATCGTATAAAAAATCCGGTCCACCGTTCCACAAGGATGATTGCGAAAATTCGTTTGGAGACGCACCACGAGAAATAATGTCCGCTGGATTTTGTTTGGTGTTGACATATCCCCATTCGTCAGTTCGTGTCAGTTCCTGGATTTTTGCGACCCTATTTGCCACAAATGTAGTCCAGGTGTACGAGGGTTTTGCAATCCATGCTAAGACGATTTTAGAGTCAGTGTAGAAAAACCTTTTGTTGATTTCGACTGGAAGTGTATTTAGAAGCCGTTCGACTAGCTCTGCCACCAGTAATGCTGCTTGTAGTTCGAGTTTGGCGATTGACGTAGCTTTTGCTGGCGCTACTCGGGATTTTGAGCAAACAAGCCGAACGCAAACCTGACCGTTTAAGTCAATACTCCGAAGATAGCAACAAGCTCCGTACGCTGCTTCGCTACTGTCAGAAAATGAATGTAGTTGCACGATTTTTTTTGCGTTTGAGCAAATCATTTGTCTTGGAATTCGTAGCGGATTCATAGCTTCAAGTTGATTCACATACTCGCGCCAACGCTTGGCGTAGCTATCTGGTAGTGGGTGGTCCCACGATATGTTGAGCTTCCACAATTCCTGCATGAATATCTTCCCTTGTACAACAATGGGTCCGATCAAACCGAGAGGATCAAAAATTCTTCCGAGGTCAGATAAAACTATTCTTTTAGTTATTGTAGCTGGCCGAGCAAAGGAAATGTTATATGTAAATACGTCAGTGGATGGTAGCCAAATTAGCCCAAGTGTTTTAACAACGTCATTTCCGCCAATCTTCAGAAATGGTTCTCTGTGGGTTTCAGGAACTAGTCTTAATAGCTCTGGTGCATTAGAACAATATTTTCGAAGCTCAAATTTTGCTTTACAAAGAAGCCGTTGAAGATCTGCCATGTGAGAAGCAGCGTCTTGAAGTAAATTAGCTCCAGTCATTATGTCGTCAACATACGTTTCTTTTATTAAGGCTGTAGAAGCGAGGGGAAATTCTCGTATATTTTTTTTCTGCAAGCATTGTCAGACAGCGCGTGGCCAAAAACGGAGCAGCTGATGTGCCGTAAGTGACAGTGTTTAACTGGTACACGCCAAGCTCAGAGAGTGGGCTTTCTCTCCACAGGGCCGTACCAATATTTGTCTGTACATCTTACTTATGTCTGTTGTGAAGACGTAGCGATATGATCGAAAGCGAATAATGACAGAAAATAAATCCGCTTGCACAGTAGGGCCAGTCATTAAAATGTCATTAAGTGAGACGCTGGTGGTCGTCTTTGTCGAAGCGTCGAAAACTACATTTCTTTATTAGCAACAAAGTCCGCATAGTTCCCCAAGCGCTTCATATGATGGAGAGTTTCGTATTCGCTCATAAATTGTATATATTGTTTCTTTAGACTGGAATTTTTAGCAAGCTTACGTTCTAGAGCGAAAAAACGACGCTTAGCTGTCGTAAGTGACTCTCCCAACACCGACGGTGGCTGTTTGAATGGCAGGCTAACGATAAATCTGCCATTTTCTGCTCGCTGCACAGTTGACGAGAAATGAGCTTCGCACAATTTTTCCTCTGCTGTGAGAATTTTGTTGGAATGAGCATGTGTCTCAATCTCCCAAAATTGTCGAAGTAGCAGTTCTAATGACGCAATTGATGTCGTTGTTATTTTATTAGCTAGCAGGCTTGAGTGTTTAATAGCAGATAATCTTCCAGTGACTATCCATCCCAACTTTGTGTTTTGGAAAATAGGCAAATGATCAGCTAAGCGAAATTGCTCATTTATCAGCAAATCGACGTAAATTTCTGCACCTAGCAACATATCAATTTTTTGAGGCTTAAAAAACAACGGATCTGCAAGCTGTAGATTCGCAAGTAGATTCCACTGCGATATATTGACATTACACTCAGGCTGAGGTTCACTAATGCGGGACAATATCAAAAATGTTAATTCAGCTGAATAAGCGGATGTATTTGAGGTGATAGTTGTACAAATTGAGTGCCGTATGCTTACGTTGTAGTCGCCAATGCCACTAATCTCCGTTTGAGAGAAGTTACGATGAATGCCTAATTGTACAGCAAGCCGTTCTGATACGAAATTAAGCTGTGACCCAGAGTCTAGTAACGCTCTGCACAGTATAGGCATGCCCCAGTTGTTTGTCACTTTAACAAGAGCTGTAGCCAGTATGATCGTACACCTAGGTGTATTTAAAGTAGCGGAGAGGCTAGCTGCTGAGTCGGAGGCAGTAGAGCTGTTAGTAAAAGCGGAGGTGCCGGCGGCGATCATGACGTTGGAAGCAGCTGAAGTTGGGGCTAATGATCATTCCGTATGAGCATTATTAGACGTGACAGTCAAAGACGAAGGTTCAATAGCAGGTGCAGCATTTACAAAAACTGAATTGTAGTGAAGTAATGTATGGTGGCTGCGTTTGCAGGCTCTACACTTTTCAGATTCGTAGTTAATGTGCGTGTGGTCAGCCTTTAGGCAATTATTACAGAGATTTCGCTGATGGATAGCATCAAATCTTTGTTTGGGATTTAAAGCAAGAAACTTTCTGCAGCGATAAATAACATGATTTGTGCCACTGCAGTACGTACAGTTACGCTGAGGTTTTACATTTTCGGAAACAACAAAGGCGGAACGCTGCTGCGATGAGCGAAAAGGTTTTGGGCTTTTATTACTATTGACGCATTGCTGTGTAGTGGAACGCGATGCTGCCGCTCTTTCTTCTAAATGAGTACACCTTTTTTCCAGGAATTTAAAAACCTCTTCTAGTGTTGGAAGCCTGTCAGTGGGAGCTTCGTCATTCCACTTTTCAAGTGTGGAGTTGTCTAATTTTGGCAAAACTATTTCGATGACTAAATCATCCCAATGTGCCACTGGTCTTCCTAAGGACGATAATGCTCTCAGGTGAATATTTACCGAATCGATTAACTCCCGTAATGCCGATGAAGAAGACTTGTTAGCAATTGAAGGCACATTAAAAAGCTGTCTTATATGCTCCCGAACAATGACGTTACGCTTTTGATATCGTTCGACAAGTGATTTGAGTGCGATTTCGTAGTTGTCAGAGGTTACTTCGATGGACTGTATACGCCGGAGAGCACCATCCTTAAGCGAAGATCGGAGATAGTGGAATCGCGTGACGTTATCTAGAGCACTATTGCGATGAACCAAGGCAGAGAACGTGTCGTAGTAAGACAACCACTGGGTGTAGTCACCGGAGAACGTTGGCAAAGGGATTTCTGGCAGTCTTAATTTCTTACTGACGATCGTTTCACATTTGGTGGTTGCTGTTGAACCTTTTTCTGCTTCCTCCTTACACTCCCTTATAGCAACCATCAGAGTGGGACGAAGAACAAAGTAAAGCTCTTCGAATGAGCCTCGAATGGTGTCCCCTTCCTCCGGTTCAAGTTCTTCAATGCAAGATTGTATGCTTTCAAAATCATGGTAGTATTTCTCCAGAGCATGGGCTCTAGTTTCGAGTTCTGGAACAGATGCTTTTGATAATTTGGAGTCGATAAACTCCTTTACACGCTGCTGCTGAGCTATTAGAGTACCGCGTTTAATTTTCAATTTAGCAAGTTTGGCTTCGGCCATATTTGCAGAATAGACTTTAAGGACGCGCCGCGTGGGCTTATTTGTCACGAATTAATCACAAATGTCTTGGTATATATGTATTATTATACACGCTTAAACACATGAGTTTAATTTAGACTACCGTCTCCTGGCAGGATCGCCAATGTTAAATTCGATCAGAATTTCTCTACTTGTAGTGAAATGAAGAAAA